GTCAAAGCGTGGCTCCAGTCCTAGCCGCCATATTTCCACCATTCTGTATTTCTTCCGAGCACAGAGAGCTGCCTCTTCCACTGAAAACTCAAGAGCATCCAGCAAGAGACAACAACTGAGCCCAGAGCTGCTTCCTCTCTTCCACAACACCAAGCACAAGCCCCGTCAGCCCATCCACAGGGCAACCGCAAGCCAGCCCTCTCCGCCTCACCTTCCTATGTATAGAAAGGGCACCCCACTGGCACCCCACTCGGAGGGCAGCTGGGCACACAGCAGAAGGCGAAGATGGCACAGGGGGCTGAGGGACACCCCAAGCATTAGCAAGACGCTGCAGGGAGTGACAGGCCAAAGGGAGGCCTACCAGCCCCATTTAAATACCTCTAAGTGCATAATCTCATAGGTGCTTGAACAGGAAAAGTCCTCCGACTTCCAGTGTACTTTTTTTTAGATCTACACAGGGCATAGGATTTGCCCCGCAACTCTGTACTATGTGCACGTACTAGTCTATACAGATGTACTAGCCGACTGCTCTGTCCCCACCCACCCAGCTCACTCGGTGAAAACAATACCAACACACCTGTATTGTGTGGGACAGGGCTTACTGGTTTGTTGTGGAACCTCAGGAAAGAGGCCTAAAGACTTACAGGGCTGGACTATTTGTAAAGGAGGGGGTGGAAACTCTGTCCAAAAAACAAGCAACAACTATTAAGGGTGTTGAACTTCTGTGTGAATCAGTGGCAGGTCCGTTTCTGATCTGCCCTGATCTTATATAAATTGGGGACCAGTTTAAAGAACACACACGAGGGGTACAAACAGCCCCTCTCACAGCCTTTCTTCCAGCCACACTCACTTCCAGTATCAGAGCATAGATGAAAGAAAAACAACACCAGGGAAGGTAAGTGGAGAGAGAGATGGAAGGTTCCCTATTTTCCACCTGCGCAGTTCCTTTTCTTTTGAAGTCAGCCCCCAACTCATACCTTTGCCTTATATGGAATCACACCAGATCCACATTTAAAAAGACATAGGTGTCTTATTAAATGTGGGTCTAGTGTGATTCCATATAAGGCAAAGCCATCCTAAGCAGTTTGGGCCTCAGCCTAGGGAAAAACGTGGCTGACATCCAGTGCTGTGCATGATGGGAGAAGAGAGGGAATTAAGATCAGGGGCCGTGTGCGGGAGCTCAGATGGGAAGCACAGACAGGCCAGATCTGGCCCACAGGATGCGTTGCCTATCCCTGCTTTAAGACATGGTTTGAGATCCCTTCAGCTAACACAAAAGCAAAATGCTGTTTTTTCCTTAGTTTAGCAGGCTAGAACCAAACTATTTTCTACTAACAGCCTTGTGCAGTGCAAACCAAAAATACCAGCATGCACACGCACAATTATTCAAGGAAACATGTGCACATGCATAAAGAAATCGTCATTTGATGATAAAAATGCTCAGCAAATAGCTCTTCTGCATTCACAACCCGCAACTAGCAATGTACTTTTCCATCCTCTGATGGAGGTAACCCTTCCGAATGAATGTATTCTGCTCTCTTCTCCACATCACAGCAACCAGCCCCTAACTATCTGAAATATGCAGGGGGCATCCTGATTTAAAGGGTGTGACTTCATTGCGGGCTTGTACCCCAATATCTCTTTCTGCAAGTTATGCAATGGGATAGTACAGTCATAGGGCTGCTGCTTCCAGAAGTGTCCAAGCTTACGACTTCTTGAACCAACTTGGGCATCTCCTGCAACCATTTCTAGCAAATGGTTTCTACTCAGGGATATTAAAGTGTGAGGAGCCCCAGAGTTGGGGGTTGTAGCCAGGCAGCTGCTGGGAAAGAAACAAATTTCACCCCCCCCCCACTCCCAAACATGGTAATAAGACAAATGATGGATGAGAGTTGTGCCTTCCTTGTTTGTCACGAGGATGGATAACACCAGGAGGTCCAAGTGGCAAGTCAATAAACAAATTGCATGCAAGGCTGCGTTGTTTACATTCGAGTGTGGAACGAGGCTTTCTAGGGCACAGGATTTGGGCTCCCTTTGATTTGGGCTCCCTTAGCCACTCGATCATATAGGGACATGGCAAGCCGCAAGATGCCACCATTAGCCAGTTGAGTATATCCACCACTAACCCACAGGATTCAGTTTTAACATACCTGGGGAAGCAGAGTTTTACCAGGAGCTTGGGGCCCAGCTATATCACAAATATCCAGCACAAATACATTCCCAACCCTTCCTCTTCCCATCTCTCCTTAAATTATTAGGAAGGGACGCTTCATGGGTCAGAGACAGTATATCACTGAAAGCATCTATAATAAAGCTCATACAGAAGGAGAAAATGCAGTCTGTGCATGCTCCAAAGCACCTTTGCTTCACCATATATCTTCTCTTGAAAACTAGTTAGCGGTGTGAGCCACAGCAAAACTTTAGAAATGGTTCTCTCCCATTCTTCAACCCTGAACAATGGGGAGCTAAGCAGAGGACTTGAAATGCCATCAAAGAGTGCTCCGGGAAGACAAAAGCTAACCAGCACCCCAGTCCCATCACAGCAGCTATTTTAGGCAGTAAGAAACATTTTTTTAAAGTCCTCCATCAATTAACACTGGCATCAAACAGAAAGTGTCTCGCAAGCAGATTTGCATAAAAGGCCCAATTGAGGGTATACACAGAGTTTGTTTGGATGCAGGTTTGGGAGTGTGTTACCATGGCAGGGAGTTTCAGAAAGTGAATGGGTGCTTTAATAGGCAACATTAACGACCAATGGTGGGAACAGGGAAATTAATTGAAATAACTCCCTGTACCAGGATCAGCGATGCTGCTACTCCGACAAAATTGTCAAATTACCTCCACCACCTATTTCGAGGGGTGTCTCCTATTTCAGATCACAGCCTTATAAGGCACGGATGGAGGGTTCATTCTCCGTTCAGAGCCTCGGATGCTCCACAGAATAGAAATGAATGTTCTTTGTTTCAAAATCTCACAGCTCTACAGTATTCTTGATTCTGAACAGGCAACCTGAGAAAAGAAAAGTCTTATATTTTTGAGCCACCATTCCTTACTCCAGAACCTCTCAAGTCTAAACAACACACAGGATGTGGCTTGTTCCTCTCTCCACCCCACCATTTTCAAAGATCAGAGCTTCACAGAAAACAGCCATTTTTTACTTCAAACTCCACCATTCCAAAGAGTTCTTTATTTTGACATCTGACAAGCCTGGCTACCAGAATACTTCTATTTTAAATGACTAGCCTTGTTCCTGGGGAGAAAAGCTGTGCAAAATCAAAGTGGGGTGGAAATGTAGGACTTAAACCCTGCCCAGCTTTAAAAAATAAATTTGCAATAGCTAGTGCCCTTAAGCATGTGCAGAGTTTCTTCCCCTGGCAAGAGAAGTGCAGCTGGGATTGTACAGAAAGACTGCCAGGTCAAACGGTGCTTCAGAAATCAAAGCATTCTGTACACCTCTTGTTCAAACACTACATTCCCAAGTCTGCAATCATAGCCACTATTCACCAATACACCTGGTATGGACATATTTACAACTGACACTCTTACACTAGACTGGTATACACCCTGTAAACAGCTGTTAACATGAGAGAAGTAGGGAAATTGGGAGCTGGGGGCAAGAAGGAGAACGCATATACATACACACACACACACCCCTCACTGACCTAGAAAGTAGATTTACTCCAGCTATTGATTAAAGTGGAATGCAATTACCCAGCGCATGGACCTGCTGGCTCCGATAAGAGAAAGAAGAGTTCATTGCAAAGTCACAAAATTAAAGTGAAGACCAGCTCCCATCCTAGTTTCATTTTCTGCAACCAGATTTCACCTCTCCTGCTCTCCACCTCCCTTTGCTTTCTCCATTTCTTCCCCTGCTGGCTGCAACATTATCTCCCTCCCTGGTGCCTTCCCGTACAGGCTAAATGCATCTCAGCTGAGCAAACCCTTCCCTTTAGCAGCCAGATCGTCTGCCTTTCAAATGTCCTTCTACATCTCAAAAGTTGTATTTGTGTGTGTGAGAAAGAGTCCTCTGGTTCCACAAATGACTCTCCTCCCAAGCTCCTGTGCTTTTTGTATTAGAGGGTGCATGAGAAAACACAGTTCATGTTTATTTTGACACAAACACACAGAGCTTTCTGCTGCCTTTCGTCTTAAAATTCAACCTAGTCAAGCCTAGAAGAGATGGCAAAGATTCCACTTGAAAATAAGTGGAGAGAACAAAACCAGAACTGAAAACTGTCAGACGTTGAACTGGGAATTCCCAGAGTCAAAGAGCTTTCTTAAAGCCAAACAGAAATCCATTTTAGAAAGAATTTTACAGTCCACAACCCAAAGCTTTAACCGATCTACCCACAAGAGAGGAATTTGTTTATTGAAATCAATATCCAGCATAGGAACACATTTTCTAGAGCATATGAAAATTCGACTGATGTCATGGAGTTTACTCGCAAGGCAATGTACTTCATATAATGTTGGTCCCTGCTGAAAAAATATCCATCCACTGAATAGTTCCATGGAAGTTAAAAGCTTGCACACACAAAGTTCATCAAGTAAAGTTGGCCCCTTTTACTATCTTGGCATTTCTTACTCCTTTAGGACCAACACAGAAACCACCATCCGTTGTAAAAAGGGGAAACCCTTCTTGATGCTGTTGGGAGCCTATTCGACTCCATTTCTCCCCACCTGTCAACTTGGTTTCACGTGGCTATGCAATGAACCCATTTATCGTGAAACTATCTGGCAAAAGCATTTCCCCAACTGGAAAAGTGCACGAGAACCAACTCACAGAAGCTGCGTCAGTGAAAGGCACGGAAATGTCACACGCGTACACTCTGCTGCACACATGCAAGCACACCCAAAGCCCCATGCGCCCTGCGCCAAGCACAATCCATCATCCCAAGCCTTCACCTGCCCACTGTATAACTGCATCCTTGAGCAGTGAAGGACGGAAAGGCAGCAGCTTGCAAGGAAGGACCACGCAGCCCGGCGAGGGAGGCACACACCTGACAGGCCTGCAGGCTTGGAGCCATGCTGGAACTTCAGCCTGAGCAAAGACTGACCTCTCCACAGAGAAAGTGATTGATTGATTGAGATGCCAGCCACTTGCAAGTAAAGTTCAACACTCTCCTCCATGAACTGCAAAAGAGGGAATCAAAGGCTTGCATGTTGACCTTTTCAAGAAATCTTCTCCATTTCAAGGTGGAAGAACGGGATGAAAGCCTCGAGTAATACACCAGCCCCTGCCTCTGGGCGCACCTGGTGGGGATCCAGAATGCAGTTAAGCTGAAAGACCATCTTTGAGTCAATGGGATGCTGTCTCAGACTGTTTAAATGCAAGCCTTTCAGCCGAACTAGGCTGTAGATGGTACTGAAAGGTTCTTTGTGTTTTGGGTGTTGTTTTGCTTTTTGTTCAAACTCAATGGTATTTTCCATGGCTTTGTTCTCTTTCCAGTCACCCCCCCACCCCCTCACTGCATCAGATGGGAATTGATGGATATCCAGGCTTTTTTTGGGAGGGGGGAGGTTTGGGAACGCCATTTTTACTTGTGCTTCTTCCTGCAATTTTTCCCATTGATCAAAACAAACGCTTGTAGGATTTGTTTAGAGATGGGGCCAACTGTCAGCCCATCTTGACTCCCACTAGAAAAGAAAGGAGAGCGAAAAAAGGTCCAAAAATGTGGATACACTCAGAGGTCAATGGCAAAAACCGTTAGACAGTCTTACATCCTATTCTACAAACTCAAGGTGCAGGCTGGGATAAAAGAAGGAAGGGAAAGAGAAAAAGAAGGCGGTGGGAGCAGGAAGGAAGAGATGATGTAGGTATTTGGACCGTTTTTTAGACCTAAGATCTGCTTGGAGGAGGAAAATTTAAAAGTAGAAACTAAAAAATTCAGCACGCAACGACGAGCACAAGAAACCCACAGAAAAATGAAAGAAGCAGTTGCAACCTTCTGGACACGGAGCTGGACTCTACGAACAGGTCTGCCTGGCGGAGACAGCTCAAGAAACTGCAAGGTGCCCCCCCCCCCCCCGCGACACCGGCAGACAGGACCGCTCTCTGCCCTCCCCATCCAGCGGAGGAGTTGAAAGGGCATCCATGCCAACCTCTGGGACACCGCGACTTCTCCCTCTGCAGCACCCCGCTGAAGGAGCCGGTGGGGAGGGGAGGGGAGGGGAGGGCCCCTGCCCGCCCGCAGGGCGAAGGACGAAGTGCGGGGCGGCGCACAAAAGCCCCCCAACCAAGCCCCACACGCACCCCCACCACTGCAGTGACAAGGAAGGGGGCGGGCGGGCGGGAGCCCTGCCATTGTTCCCGCTCCCTCTCGCTGCCTGTACATCGGCACACGCCTCTGCTGCAGCGCAGCCACCGGCATTAGGGTCACACAATGCGGGCAGGAAGGGACGGGCTGCCCTTTCCTCCGCCGCGGCCGCGCTCCCGCCGGGGAAGCGCCCCCTCGGAGCGAGCGCCGCTCCGTCCTGCCGCCGGCCGCGGGCAGGAGCGGCGCCCCGCGCCCGGCGCTCGGAGGAGCGAGTCCCCGCGCTGGCCGGCGCGGCGCGAAGGCTGCGGGCGCGGGGCGGCCGGACGAAGCGCCTGCCTCCGGCGGAAGCCCGGCTCGCCCGCATGCGGGGCCCCGCTCCCTCGGCTCGGCTCGGCTCGGCTCGGCAGGGCAAGCGCGCCACGCCGCCGCCGCCGCCAGCAGCAGCAGCAGCAGCAGCAGCTCCGGCCCCCCGGTGGGGGAAGCGGGCTCGCCGGCACGGCCCCCTCTCCGCCGCGCTTACCTCTGCCAGCCACGCACAGCAATAAAATCCCAGCCGCGGCCACCGCAGGCGAGTGCCTGCCGCTCCCCGTCCAACGCATCCTGCCTGCCCGCCCGCCCGCCTTCCCCTCCGGCCGCTCGTTCTCCCTCTCGCCGGCTCTGCACCTGCACTCGAGCTCCCCCAGCGTTAATCTATGTTAATGAGATGCGGGGGGAGGGACGGCCGGCGGCGGGAGGGGCGGTGCCTGCCGGAGCAGGGGGAGGCAACTGTTTACAACTCCCATGCGGGACGGGGGGGGCGCGAGGGAGGGGCTTTAAAGGGGCAACCGGCCGCGCGCCCTCGCCCCGCCCCGCCCCGCCGGAGGGGGGCGCCCCTCGCCCGCGCAGCGCGGGACAACCGGGGGGGGGGGCCGCCGGCGCAACTGCAGCGGCGCGGGAGCAGCTCTGCCGCACGCGGGCCGTTTGCTAGCCTGGTCTGGGCCGCCCCGGAGACCCCACGGCTCCAGCTCAGACCACCGAAGCCACCCTGTGCTTGCTGAGGGGACAGTGGCAACGAGAACGGCAGCTGCCTGTGTTGACCATAGGAAAAAAATTAAAACCGTATTAATACAAGGCTCATTGATACACCGATGGGTTAATAATCTTCGTAGTCTAATCTATCTCAAGAGGGTTGTTGCAAGGATAAGACTGGGAGGAAGAGGAGGAGAGTCAAGTTGCTCGGAGTTCCTTGAAAGAAAAAAGGTGAGATATAAATATGAATAGATAAACGAAGTCACCAATGTGAAAACTAAAGATCTTGAAAAATACAACATCCTTCCTGATGAAGAAATGTGGAGATCTTGAAAGCTTGTACGTATTGTGCAACTTTTTGTAGGCCTCATGACAATAATATTTTAATACTGATCTTGCGATAATGCTGAATAAATAATCATGCAATTATTAATCGCAAGATGCATAAAGAACCAAGCATTTTAAGACTATTCATGCACTAATACTGTTAAAATTGGCAAGACATGCATCAAAAAGCATATACGTTATACATAATCCATAGGAAACAACTCATGCAAACCATCTTGCGTTAGTATCATAGCTGTAATATTTGGGGGGGATGTTCAAATTTCTAAAAAATCATTTTTCCTGCTAAAAGGAATGCTAATGGCTTTTTCACATCACTATTATAGCCTAGCCATTCAAATGTATTGTATTTCTATGCGCAGAAATGCTATCTGTTAATCATGTACATGGCACAGCTGGTAAGGACCGCTGAGCAATCCTTAGTGCCATCAAACTCCTCTTGATAAAGCTCAGAGGAAGGTTCTACCTTTCTTTCTAGTTGACAGATAAGAGAGTGAAAGTTCTCCCATTTCATTTAGTAAAATTCAAAACAGGAATATTCTACAGAGGATCCACTGGGACGTAAAAAGGCCCTGACAAGAGCAAAGTAAAGATCAACATTCTGTCTCCCACAGTAACCAGCTGTTTCCAGGAAGCTCACTCCCCAAAATTTCTCAGTCTGCCTGTATGCCACCTATTTTTAAATGGCACAGATCTCCAGCTCCAATTTTGGTCTCCGAATTGAAACAAAATATTTTAATAGTGACCTACAACATAGTCAAACTATAATACTGTACCCCCACACCTTTATTGTTGCTTTTAAACCTTTTGTTGTTGTTCAGTCACAAAGTCGTGCCCGATTCTTCGTGACCCCATGGACAAACCTTTAAATGCTTGTAAATGAAGCAAGCCCACTTTTTAATGCAGAAGGGTGGGATACACATTTCCTAAAATGCATGCATGAATGCATGAAATCAATCTAAATGAAGATGGTTCCTGCTCTGAAATCAGGTTTCTTCAACAGTTGCTTAGGACTTTGGGTCCCCATCACCCCAACCATCATGGCCACTGGCCAGGAATCCTGGAAGTTGTACTCTGAAACATCCAAAGGGCGTGAGTTTAGGGAAGGCTGCCCTGAAATGATGCTCCAGATCTAATGTAGGGCATCATCCCAACATGCCTCACGTTAGGGGCTATCCTCCCAGCTCCTTTTCTTCCTCCTGAACTTTCCACACCTCCTAAAACGGCTTAGATACCAATAGCACAGTTTTAACCTCCCCTTTCCAAGCTTAGAAATGGTGCCACAGTTGATCCATTCAATGCCCATTTATGGCTGGAATGGGAACTGTTGAAAAGCTGGCCAGGGCATTATTCTAGTGTAATAAAGGAGGCCGGGGGAGGGATTGTGACCCCTGGTGGCCTAGCTCTTGGGACAAAATAGTTGTGAGCTGCCCAGAGAGCTTAAATAAATAGAAACCCCAACCCCTCCGTAAGAGAAGCCAGCTGGCCCCAGATGAGCATACAAAAGCCTCAGCCGGCATATATGAAGGCTGCAACTGAACTTCTAGGATCAGAGGCCCTGCCTAAATGCCAGCCCTTATTATTCCTTTTTTAATGCTACCTTAACCATCAGAGGCTAGGATTTTACTATTTCAATCATTAGGCAAAAAACGTTTAATGCTTTAGCAGTAAAAGCTCTTCCTCTTGGTTGTTAAACTGTTATAGCAGTTTGGAATGGAAAGTGGTTATGAGCTCAGGACCTGGAAAATACCACCTCCCCTTGCACCAGGGGGTTGGGCGAAGACTTCAAGCAAGGTCCTTAACCTTTGGTTTCAAAACACTGGTTTTCTTCACCCCTTCCATTTTTTTTAAGCTTGCCTAACCCAGGAGTGGTGCAGGAGACTGTTTCATGTAAAAATACATTACAATATATCATGCATCCAGCTAAAGGAAGCTCCAAATAGCTGTAAATAAAGCGGCCAAATTGAGACAAAACAGAGAAGGAAATGTCAAAATGCCACCGTTGGCCCACATGGCTAAATCCAAGGCCAATAAGATCTTCAAGAGCTTCCAAGAAGCTCTGATTCAGGCTTTGCAAAGCCTCCATGAACGAGTTCAAGTTGCAGAGCAACCGAATGCCTGTGTGTGTGTGTACCCAATATTTTCTTAACTTGGCACCACGATAATACTGCCAATAAGCCTCCTTTGGACAACCTGAGAATCACAAGATGATAATGGTGAGCAGGAAACCCCTCCAGTTTTCTGGCTCTCCTCCAATATGGGCAGCTTGTCAAGGAAGAATGCAGAGATGGAGCCGTTGACACATCTTTTTTCTTGTTCAATTAAGAGTCACGAATTTCTGGAGGAGAGAAAGGCAGAGATTGCCAGGGACTCTAGACCTGGAGCCACGACCTGAGGTCAGGTTCCCACCTGCAGATAGCATGCGCTTGGGCCTCAGCGCTCTCTCCAGGCAAACACAGGAATAGGGCGGTGGGACGCTGCCCACACAAAAGGCAGCTGCAACCGAGCTGACCGAGCCACTGGGAAGGGAGGAAGAAGGCAGGATTCATTCCGAATCCATCCAGTCATGAACATGGGTTGTGTTTCTGACATCTGTATAACTCAGTCAAGTGCATCAAGCTGCATTAGTCACAGGCAACGTGACTAACAGACTCTTTCCCTCCCAAGCTGACTCATCAACCTGGGCTTGAGAAAGCTGTTTCCAAGTCCCAAATGCAGGTCCAGCCCTCCCATTGGGCAGCATCCGGCGGCGGCCACAGAGCACAGGTGGGGAGGCACAGGTCTGCGGCCAAGTCCGATTCCCCAGGACACCAACCCGCCCTCCTCCTGGCCCCATCCATCTGGTGGTTTCCCAGCTTTTGTTCAGTCCCCTCCTTCTAAAAGCTTGTAATGCATCACCTAAGGCGTTGTTATCAGCAGTTTTTAAACACAATACTGTGGGGTTTTCTTTGGATTTGGGGCCTTAGCCACCCCTGGCAGGTGGCCGCTGAAAGCTTCTCCAAAACCGAATTCGACCCTTGGGCTGAAAAGAGTAGCTTCAACCCTGGTGAGCAATGTGGCAGTCCAGATTAAACAACCAGAAAGGGCAATAAATATATTTTGGGAAAGGCCACATGTGCCTCTGACATCAATATTTTGGGCCAGCCCCACCAAAATACAGAGCAGCAACCAGGATTCGGGCTGCTTCCAGAAGTTGGGCTCTTAACACCGCCCGTCAAAAGGCAGCTGTTCTGTCTTGACGTGCGTATCGTTTTTGTTTGTTTTCTCCCTGAAAATAAAACAACCAGAAGTGGTGGGGAAAGGACATTTATAAATGGACATTGTCATTACCTAGACCCAACGTAAAATTTTTTGAAGAAGGCTGCAAAATAAATGCCTGTTCTAGAAGCAATTTTAATGACCGAGGGAAAATGTCTCTAAGTACATGAAAATTTCAGTCCAGTCGTCCTTTCCTCTCACCTCCCTTGGTTACACTGTCTGATGCTTCGACAGAACAGAACACCAGGATCAAATTGGGGTGGGAGGAAATAGAGCAAGCCACAAATGAGAAACCAGATTAAATCAAACAACAACTTTCAATAATTTATCCAGCTCTATTTTGAAACCGAATGAGAAGCTTTGCTACAGCAACAACTGTTCTTTGGAGACTATTCCAAAACAGTTTAAATGCCAGATTTACAGCTTTTAGTCAATAGAATTGGCTGAGTTTTTCCAGGCAGAAATTATACTTTGCTATATTTCAGCATATTTCACTGCAATGTTTCCTCTCCATTACCATCCCATAAGTCCCCAGTAAACTGATTTGACTTCTTAAAATGAAATACCTCAGACTAACAGAGGGAAAACCTTCAGGGGAACCCCAAGAACCATCCAAGTCTCCTGTTTTTTAGCACCAGCTAATTAATTACAGCACCATGAATTACAGCACCAACTAATTAACCAAAAACCCATCCACAATCAACCGTCATGAATACAGTCCCAATTTAATTTTGTTGCTCTTGAAATACTTGCTCTGAAAAAATGCAAGTGTTAGAAACAGAGATTTGTATACTTCTCGCTGTGACGGCATTATCTTTTTTAATGGCACAGTTCCTAGCCTTGGCGGATTTCAGTACAAGCTGAAATGCATCAGGAGGCTATTTTTGACAGCAAGTCGCTCCTCCCTCAAGAGATATATTAAGATATATTAACTAAAGCAACAACCAGGTTAAGTCCCTTAACCTGGAGGTTGCT